TTGGTTTACGTCTGAAAATCGTTGAAAATGGATTATGTTTTAATTAAGTCTTTGAGAAATAGTCGAGAGAGTCGAATAGGTAAGAAATTGTAGACAAACATGACTAGTTTTAGAAAAAAAGTACCCAAAGATATACTGATTCTGTTGAATTTGAGATTTTAAAGAAGTCTGTAAAAAGATACTAACATTTTTCTTTATAAAAAAAGACATTTGTATCAGACAATTCTAAAAGCTGAGATAATTTACTTTTTTCATATTTTTATAGAAAGCATATAATATAGCAGTAATTTTATTAAATAAATAATTAAATAGTTAATTAAATAATTACAATTTTCATATATAGAACATACTTTTAATATAATTAGAAAAAGTTTTAAAATTAATTAGCTATTTGGGTACCTTCTTCCAATATCGGTCTTGAACATTAATAACGATCAGGCACGAAGAGCAAGCGATATGAATGAAAAAAGTGCATTTGATTTTTTCCAGGATATGAAATAGAAATAGAAACGTCGTGATATGATTCTTTTATAAACTCTTGATTATTCCGTTCAAATGTAAGCTATACAACTTTGCAAAGAAATCGCAATTTAATCATATTCTCACTAACATTATCGGTTTGCAATATATTTCAGTATCCTTTAGATATCAAGAACTAGATATCAAGATTTAAAAGCACTCATTTTTAAGAGTTTCTTTTTTAAGAATAAGGATATTTTCACATTATTCATCTTATCTCATTTATTTACTGAAATATTTCGCATAATGTGTCGTTAATTCTGACAAAACTCTAATTAAGATTGGAATTTTTAGGTACACGAGAAATTCTATTTCTATTTCTATTAGAAATTTTATTTCTATGATTACTCGGAGATTAAAATCAAATGCCTTTTTTTAATCAATCACGAATTGAAAATTTGATTATTATTATTATGTGCGTCGCTATATACATTGACGCCTCTTTCTCATATAATCGCGTATTTTTCTATTCAGTTTAAGTTTTCCTTTTCTTAAAGTCTTTTTGTTATCTCTTTGATAGCAGCTTTCTTATATCATAGAAAACTGAGTATACTAATTTAATTCTGAGACTCTTGGAAGGGTTATAAAAGATTTACTGCCCGATATAATTATCCGGTTTTCGATTTCGCAGCAGAAAATTGCCGAATAAAAAGATTGCGCATTAACGCAATCGTTATTCATTCTTATATAGAGTTTAAAATTGATTACTTTGCGGTTTTACACATGGCTTTTTCCGCTAGCATCGTCACGCATTTAATTCCAATTTGGTTCAATCGACGAGTCCTGATTTTATGGCACGGAAAAAGAGAGAGACGAAGGTAGAAGGTACAAATAATCGTTTATCAAATAATTGGCAGAATCGTTCGCTCGTTTGTTCATTCATGCACACATCGAGGTTTCTTCTCGCGAAGACCGTCGCAGAAAATAAAACGCGCCCGAAACCAACTTTTGCTTTAAAGACAATAAACGTAAGACTAGAGTTCAACAATACATACGGCCTTTAATCGCCGTACAAACGCAGTTGATAAAGTATAAAAGTATAAACAGCTAAACGTGAAAAGCAGGACGCCATACAGAAGTAACCGCATGCGTTAATGCGTATGTCAAGAATCCAAAATTACGCGTCTGAATTTTTTGGAACGGAATAATCGCGAACAGTTCGTCGAGAAACGAACCATTAGATTACGTGCTTTCATTCTTCGAAATTGTACTTTTCCTCGCCGCGTTCAAAGAAAACGCTGAGAATGTTTCGCAAAAGTTTCGCCAATCTCTTTCAAGAAATTTCAGACAAATCTCTCCTCCAATTAATACACACCGGTTTAAAAGTTTAACAAATCATTTTCCAAGTTGGATTGCACTTTAGTAACGCAGTTAGATGAAAGGTAGATACGCGACACAATTCTCTCAACGTTCTTCGAACGATCAAATGAAACGACGAGATTTTCTACCGCGTGAATCTTCTCGACGAACGGTGCAGTAATTATTCCGACAACCCCATTTTCTCTTTTTGCCGTGGCGACTGCTAGCTTTAGGAGATGAAGATAGTCTTTGCGAGAGTGAAAATAATCTGAGATTATTCTAGGATAGGAGAATATACATGTCTCTCTCTCTCTCTTTTTCTCAGAATAATCTCGGAATAATCATGTGCTTTCAGAAAACGGTAATATATCTATATATATCTAAAGAATTTTGAGATATTGCCTAAAAATACACGATTATTCTTAGAATATTCTAAAAATAGACAGAGAGTATTCTCTTACCTTACATCCTTGGTTACACAGTTCCTGAAACTTAATCGTACATCAATACAACAGAGTCTAGTTACATATCTACTTGTTTGTCTTCTTCTCCTTTTTCTTCTTTTCCGTCTATTTATAATTATCCACTTGCTCGTGTATATTATAGATTTATATATATTTTTTTTTATGCACGATGGATATGTGTATATCCTTACGTCTTTGTATACACGCACACACA